GTATTTCATGACCTTCTCTCTTAAGCTATGTCATTACACAGGAAGCGACAGCAAGAACTTTGTCCTTTATGACTAAAGATGTAATTTAGCCAAGTGCTAACCCTATTATGGGTCTTAATCGTTGTTCGATATTACAAGACGGCTACAGCTCAGCAGAGATGGGGGTGGAGTGGGGTGGGGGGTTTCTTGTGGGGGATGGTTGATAATTGTGGCATAGAAGCCGGAACTTTGTAGATCCTTGAGCCCCGCTCCCCCTCCCTCATTTCCACCTCCCTAATAAAGAGGTTTCTATGTGGGCTAAGCGGCTACTTTATCCGTAAAAGGAATAAGAAAATGAGCTATAAAATGTCTTTATGCATTTCATGTTCTTTCAAGTTTACACGTATTGTTATTTTTTATGTCATTTATAATAGTATTGTTACTATTATTGTCTTAAACTGGGAGAAAATCCATAAGGGCTCAGCTGCCCTCCTTGACCGCAGTGTTCTTCGTGTCGTAGCCTCTACTCTCTGATTTGAAAAGTACTTACCCAGTTCTGTCACAGGGTGAAGTGAAGTTTCTTCTTCCTCTTCTTGTTCTTCTTCTCCTCCTCAGTCTCGTCCCTTACCTATTTATTCTTCTTCTATCTACCTTCGTCCTCTGCCGCTCTGTATCCCTAATGAAACCAGACTCCTCGACAATCTGGTGCCGAACAGTCCTATTTGTTTTCGAATACTGCGAGATGATTCCGTGTTCTTTCAAACTTAATCATCTGCGTCTGTACTCATTAACTTCTTGTCTTTTTAGTCATCAATTATTTATGTGATAATTTGGACTCTGGGGCAGAGATTTTTTTTTTTTTCATTATTATATCATCAGGATTTCATGTGTTAGGGTCCATTTCCAGTGTCTACTCTACAAATTAATCTTGTTGAAAGTGTTCTCTGGATGGTTTGCAGTACAGTTACCGATTAGTCAATGCTGGGATGTCAACCTAACAAGAACAAATCATAACTCGTTAATCTGTATAAAACTTCATGGTTAAGGATAGCCGACTAAAGAACACGGTCCTGTTTCTGCATTGTTTAGAGCCAACTAAACTGTATTATTTTAATGTGATTTCACGTATAGTTAATAGGCTTTTAACTTTAAAAATTGTTTGTTCAAAATAAACAACAGATTAAAGATAAGGATAAACACTGCTGGAACATTTTACAGGCTTACCAAGAAAAAGACTGTAAGCCAATTATTTTATTCAGCCCAGCTCAGGACGACGATAAAATTCAGTGAAGATTTTTGCATCGAACTAAGAAACCAGTTCTAGGTGTTTAATTCTAGGTGTTTAACCACCTTCCGGAGACAGCAAATATTGAAGAAGAATGGGCAGAGTCTAATGATGTGTACTGTATTGCAGCCCAGAAAACATTTGGTATAAAGAAACATTTAAGAGAGGAATGAATATCTAAAGAATCTTGGTCAAAGATAGCATTTTAGTTTTGATGAAGAAAACATGAGAGACAACACAACAGGAGAAATAAACACAACGGAAAGAGGAAATATTGGCAGATGGCAATAATATTTTACAGAATTGCTAAATAGGCCATCATCAGATATCCCTGTGGAAACAGTAAAAAAACTGTGGCCAGATCCTAGAAATGGATATTGGGCTCAACCAGCGTTAAAGAAATAGAAACGGCAATAAGCAGTACGAAGAACTGGAAAGCAGCAGGTAAAGACCAAATTAGTGCTCACTTGTTAAAAGCAGACCCAACATTTACAGCAAAAACATTACATGGAATATTCAACAAAATATTAATAAATGTAAAGGTCCCAACAGACTGGAAAAATATTGTAATCATCCCACTACCGAAGAAATGTGATCTCTCACACTGCAACAACTGGACAGGCATAATATTATTGTATGTACCCAAAAAGGTACTCTGTAGGGTGATAAACAACAGAATAAAGTTGAACACGTCCTCGGAATCAAGAAAGAGAGCAATGCAGTGGACTCCACAAGGACAGCGAGGAAGAGGCAGGCCCAGAGGTACTTGGAGGGGAACATGTGAGGCTGAACTCAAGGCGGCTACACGAAGGACAAAACTAAAGATACAGAGGACGGCTTAGAATCGAACTGAGTGGCGACAGTTTGTCTCTGCCTTAGATGCCTCTGGGTGCTATGATGATTGATTCATTAACCAATGCCATGGTCATTCTGACATCTCAGTGACAGAATTATACAACTGCGTGTGTGGTTTAACTACAAATTATGACTGATCTCAGTGGCCCCATGTCTTAAGTACCACAGTTTTAATCCTTTCCTAATTAAGGGTTTACTGAAATAAAATTTGTTGGGCTGAAAGGCTCAGATATGGCTGCTAATCGTCCTTTAAAGGACGAACGCAAAAGAAGAACAGCAATAATTCAAGACATTATACGTGCCACTTCAGGATTTCTTGCAACCGTTCTCCGTTGTAATTTCCCCATAGTTTGGCTAGCATGAGAAGTTAATAGCTTATCTTTCTTCTTCTTCTTCTTCTTCTTCTTCTTCTTCTTCTTCTTCTTCTTCTTCTTCTTCTTCTTCTTCTTCTTCTTCTTCTTCTTCTTCTTCTTCTTCTTCTTCTTCTTTTTCTTCTTCTTCTTCTTCTTCTTCTTCTTCTTCTTCTTCTTCTTCTTCTTCTTCTTCTTCTTCTTCTTCTTCTTCTTCTTCTTCTTCTTCTTCTTCTTCTTCTTCTTCTTCTTCTTCTTCTTCTTCTTCTTCTTCTTCTTCTTCTTCTTCTTCTTCTTTTTCTTCGTTACTGGCTGTAAACTCCGCCGGAAAGTCCTGGCTGTTCGTCCATTTGGACTTAGCCAGGTCCTGCGTTTTACGTGTGCATCCGTTTTACTGACTTATTAGTGTGTAAGTGGTTGTTCCTTGCCGGTCGGGGATATGCACTCTGACTTCGAAAAAAGCCTCAAAGTACTCGACTCCCACGACATGCTTGTTGGGGGAGGCAGTTGAATCTACACTTGACAACAAAAGATGCATTAGGCCTAGTAAAAAAAAAATCAGAGGGATCCATGAGATAACATGGAGAGAGAACTGTCCCGCCAACTAAACTCACAGAAAACAATCTAATCGCTCTCCAGTGGATCCCGTCTCACTGCGGCATACCAAGAAATGAGTTAGCAAGCATATTTACAAAAAAAAAAAAAATGGAACAAAGGAGAAATAACACGCCCGTTCATCGTCATTACCAGAAATCAAAACACTTATAAAGGGAAATACAAGGAATTGTGGAGAGAACAAACTAACATTAAACATCCACAAGACCCCATAAACAGACGCAATAGAAAGCAACATACAACAATTTTTCGTCTACGAAGAGGACACTGCAGGCTCACTTACCACATGCATAAAATAAAGATTGTACAGTCCCCACAGTGTGCCTGTCAAACAGGACCACAAACACCTGAGCACATTCTGCAAACCTGCCCACTCTACGTATAACTTCGAAAAGACACCTGGCCTCAAGAGCAAAGTGTGCAGAGCAAGCTGTGGGAAACCATGAAGGACCTGCTACTGACGTGCGAGTTCACAGAGGCAACCCACCTGATGGTTTGATCTGAGCATATGAAACCGAAGGTAAAGAAGAAGAAGAAATCCACAACTTACAGTGTCGCACCATGCACTCAACGAAGTAGCTTGGCGACGCGATTATGTACTTTCAGTTTACAAATGGAGGAAACTGCAACGGATATCTATTGTCAGAAGAAAGACTTGTTACGACTGAAAACAATACTGGTCTCCTGTCTCTGTTTACGCTAAATAGTATAGGGCAGGAAGTCTTGAGTCTGGGAATTAAGGGTATTATGGCTAGTGAATCGCCACTAAATATGCAGCTTATGAATTCATTTCTTCGCTCAACAGAAACAATAGTCTTTTAAAACACGTTTTGGTTTGCTCGATCAAAGAGTTTAATATCGCGATTTGTCTGTTTCCACTATGCAATTCTCTCTCTCTCTCTCTCTCTCACTAATATATATATATATATATATATATATATATATATATATATATATATATATATATATATATATATTAGAGATAAAATAACAATCCTAGTCTTTCTATTGCAGAATCTGTTTAGGCTAGTAGTCAAGCTCCTCTGTCTAGAAAACCCTCTGATATCTGGTACAAATAGTAAAGAAAGTGAATATGTTTAGCCATGGGTATGTCGGACTAACAATGCTAGACACATATTTTATAAACCATTCAGCACTCATCGAAAGATATGCTAAACAGCACACTTGTTACCTTTTCTTCCCATAAAACTTTCTTGTAATTGTTATAGTCTTTCTGAAAGTCTAAGTCATTACTAGCGAAAGTCATCCCCATGTGGGATGCAATTTTTCGTTACTTTGAATCCCCACCCTGGCTTTTGCCTCGGGGCCGTGAATATAGCCCGGCCATAAATATGGCCTAGCCATAGAAATGGCCTAACGGCTAAAAGGGGTTTCTGGGACCTCTCCACTGGTGATCCGCATCAGCATGGTGGCACTTTGTGTCACCAGGTGTTTATCGCTTGTGTGATGTCCTGGTGGGGTACAGCTACCTACCTACCTACCTAAGCCAATTATTTGAAAGAAAAAATCAACACTAAGCAGGTATTCCTTATGTATGCAGACCTTTGGTTCCTCACCATTGACGAAAATGCGCTTCAAAGGAAACTTCTGTCCTATCTATGCTGGCCAGGCTACCAGTAGGGAACCTGTTTCTAGGATAGCACAGTCTTGACCAGTTTAACCCCTGGTCTTAGTACACCACTGCATATGTTGGTACACCTCTGCATATATATTCGAACACAGGACTTGAGACCAACAGGAAAGAGTCTAGCCACTATGCGCCGCTGCTCTCTCGTTGGTACAGATGATAAATAAACATATTTAGTAATTGTAAACATGTAATAAATGCATTATTTCAGTGTGTAAACTGCATAATGATGAAATTTTTTAAATCTGTTTTTTTTTTTAATCACCAGGCATGGCTTGCTGTAGACGTATGGCTGTGTACAGCATCAATCCTCAATCTCTGCTGCATCAGTTTCGATCGGTATGTTGCAATCACGTGGCCCATTCGTTACCCCGGCCTTATGTCTTCTCGCAGGGCAAAGACTCTTGTAGCTGGTGTCTGGCTCTTTTCATTCATAATTGGATGTCCACCTCTAATTGGCTGGAATGACTATCGAGTCAAAAATGTCGACTCTAATTGGACAACTCCTCAGCCAGTTGTCACTACCATCGGCTACATTGTGACAAATAGCAGTCACTTAATATGTGACAGTGACGTGTTTGTTTCTGACAGTCTCCAACAAAATAGTTCTTGCACCGCTCACACCGGTGTAGTTTCAGCCAAAATCTGTGAACTAACAAGCTCCAGAGGATATCGCATTTATGCAGCTTTGGGTTCATTCTTCATTCCGATGTTGGTGATGGTGTTTTTTTATTTACAGATTTACCGAGCTGCTGTAAGAACTATATCTGCCTACGCGAAGGGTGAGTTGAAGACTAAATATTCCGTCAGGGAGAAAGAAAATGGAATGAAAACTAGCTCTGTAACTTTACGCGTTCATAGAGGTGGGCGAGGGTATAACGCTAATAACAGCAGCTGGGGTAACGCCCAAGGAAATGTTCATTGTATCTCTAGTGGCAATACAACCTGCAAGCAAGGGACTGCAAACAAGGGAAGGGCGGAACGACCTTTTGAAGACGTTGGTCGATTGCCTATGAGACGAACCAGAAGCAGCGATGCTAGTCTGGAAACTCTTTTAGATCTCAACCCGGATACGGAAATTGCTGATCCTGCTACTGCGCATGGCACAGTGCAAAGACGTTGCAAGTCTTTCTGCTGGAGATCCGAAAATAAATGCGTCGAATGTCAAAAACAGCGTTCTTTTCGAGATCGAAATCAAAATGGGGGAGACTCGAGTTCAAAAGTATTCGGAATTCGGTGCATGTCTATGGATTCAGAGGAAAGTTCTTCTGGGGATGCAAAACCTGAAGCGAAACGAAGCTACCATCAGAGAACATCCTCCGAAACTTCCACCCCTCTTACTACATCAGCATCATGTCATGCATTTGATACAGGTATTGTTTATATCAGAGGAACGTCAGAGTCAGACAAGCCAAGAAGGCCTCGTTTCTCCGCTCAGAAGTCAGCTAACGCCATGAAACTTCACATGCAAAAATTTAATCGTGAAAAGAAAGCTGCCAAGACGTTAGCCATTATCGTGGGCGCTTTCATTTTGTGTTGGATGCCCTTCTTCACAACCTACCTCGTAGATGCTTTCTGTGATAACTGTATATCGTCGGCAGTATTTTCTGTGGTTTTTTGGTTAGGGTATTGCAATTCTGCCATGAACCCGTTTGTGTACGCCTTGTTTTCACAGGATTTCCGATTCGCGTTTAGAAAACTGCTTACTTGCAAATGTACAAAGTCGTATAGAAACCGACACTGTCTGCCTCATATTAACGATGTTCCAACTATTCAGCTGCACTGTGCACCCCAAGACGACGCCAGAAGCTGTTCGGATATTGAAGGACAATGGAGATGATACTTAACGGTTATAAAATGAATAGCTGTCAATTAACAATATTAACTTCGAGTATTACCGGTTATAAAATGAATAGCTGTCAATTAACAATATTAACTTCGAGTATTACCAGGCCAATAAGACAAACACAGAAGGGAATGACTCAAGTTAACAATGCTTGTCGTAAAAGGCGACAAAGGAGGGTCGGTGTGCGACTTAATACCCAATACTGCAGTTGTGGCCAACATTCTTAAATCAGAAGAGGACTTTTCGTTGATAATTTACTTGTCAATCACGCAGACTAATAAACTGGATATACAAAAAGGGGAGGAAGGCTTGCAAAAAGGGGGGGGGGGGGCCTTTACCACCGTGGGATAACACTCATCACTTGCGGTCGATAAAATGATGGTGGCTGATGCGTTGGTCAGTCCTGGAGAATAACCAAAAAGGATGCGCACAAGCTATCCACCTTTCACCACACATGTCTGCGTAGAATTATCAAAATTTTATGGCCAGATGCGATCTCAAACACTAAACTACTTCAAGTCACAAACCAAGAAACTCTAGACAGCATGATAAGAGAAGTTGGAAATGGCTTGGCCACGTTATGAGAATGAATCCTGGTATACCTGCTAAAACAGCTTTCACATATTCACCACAGGGAAAGATTAAGAAGGGACGCAGAGAAACAACATGGAGACGAACGATGGAGAGTGACCTGAATGCGCCATCTCTGACATGGAAAACCGCACTGAAGATTGCACAGGACAGGAAAGCATGAAATGTCCTCTCTAAAGCCCCATGTGCCATTAGGCAGAAAGAGAATTGATGATGATGATGCGTTGGTTACACCTGCCATACCGTAAAAAAACTATATCTGTGTATCCATCTAATTACCAATAAGTATACAGATAAAACATGTCGCAACGTTGTTGTGTGTCTGTGCTCTAATGCGGTACATAAAAAGGAGTTGAATACTGAATTTAGAATCGACATAACAGCACTCAGGACATTTCCATAAAAGCTCCGTTCCCATCTTCAGCAGCACGTGAAGGGTTCCAATTCCGATGGCACCAGTAACTGTCTGATTGTATAGCCGTCTTGCCTTTCCCTTGAGTGTTGAGCGTCGGCCAAATCCCTTGGTAACTCCTTGCAGCGCCATTTTCCTCAGACAGTAATGATCTTTCTGTGCCTATGCACTGTTCACTCGCTGCCAAAGGGCCCTAACAATATCTAAGTTGTCATACATCAGTTCACCACCAAGTGTTGAGGAATTGGCCAGTCTCTCTGCCTGCTAATTTCCCAACACACTGGCATAACCTGGAGAAAATATCCGGGACCTCTGAAGTGATGCTTGCCATTCTGCACGGTACATGGCTGTCTCCACCTTTCTCAACATGCTCTGTGAGTCAGTTACAATCACGGCATGTGTGTGCAGCTGATTCTCAAGCCAGCAGAAGGCAGCAGTGACCACCTCCATCTCCATTTTCAAACTGGACGTTTGGATATTAAATGCCAGGCTTTGTTGCACAAAGCGACGTCCATTCGTACTTCGTCTGCCCCTCAACACAGAGCCATCTATATAGATAATCACATCACTTAGACGTAAATTGTCAGGAATCATGTGTCAAACTTCTTTTTCCTCAGCACCAACTGGCCAGTCCCTGAACTCACGACCCAAAATGATGAGAACCCTACACAAGTCTTACATTACTCGGACACTTTGACCCACTCCTCTCCTCGCCCAAATTTGTCAAGCCTGCACACAAGTCTAATTGTGTCTACAGCTTGCGCCATTCAAGACATTCCTCTTTTCAATCTGTAACCAGGGCTTCATGCAAGAGGTGCTTTTTGTCTGCATCTACTTTGAGATATGACACTGCCTGCAGAACTGAGTATATTTGCAATACAAGCGTAGTAAGCATTGCCAGTATGTATCGTATACATACTGTCAGGTTATCTCGTGTACATCCTAGAATCACCCGCATGGCTTCATTCTGTATGCGTTCAGGTTTCATCATCTGACTCTTTGATATGGTAAACATGGTAAGTCCATAATCTGTCACTGGCCGGATCAAATCCTGGAACATTGCATTCTTTATTCAATTTCCATTGCTGACTATAATGTTGGGAGCATTAAGTCTTTTTTTTTTTTTTTTTGGCATTCCACTGTAACTGCCTTCATATGATCCCAGAAGGATAGACTTCTATCGAAAATGGTGCTCAGGAACCCCAGTTTGCTTTCTCTTTTGATGTTACCGTTATCAGTTGTCAAGCTTGGAACACTAGCTCTTACCATTCTATTGTCCAAGAGAGCACCATGAAACAACCGCCTTTTCTGAGTTGATGACAGCACTCATCTTTGCACATTAGTCAGTCACTTTGTCTACAGTTGCCTGTAGTTTTTGGGCTATCTTTTGCCGATCACGCGCCTGCCTATATGCAAGAACATAATCAAAAACGTCATTTAAAAAGGAGAAAGTCCTTCTGGTAATCTGGTAATCCTAGTTTCAGCTTCATAGCAAAGGGGTCACCCCATAGTTGCTCCGCTCCTGTGCCAAAGAAAAACACACGTAGCTCACAGTGTCACGCCATACACTCAACTTAGAAGCTGAGCGACGAAACTATATCCTCCCAGTCTACAAATGGAGAAAAAAAAAAAAAAACATTTGCCACGGATTAAAAAAAAAAAGTGGCCGTGCCTATTGCACATTTTGACCTGAAGCATTATATGAGGGTAATAAACGGTCACCCCAGCAGTACTCTCACTATTAGCTGTGAAAGGTACTTTGGACATTACATCCACCAGCAGGCGTCGCCCATACAACGACCTGACTGCTTTCGTTAACAACTGTTCACTAAACAGCCATGCAGTTCTTTGGCACGAAGGAGACACCTTGAACTTGGGTTTCGGACTGCCGACTCCCTACAAGATGTTATTTTATGGTTTGTTATCACAATCGACGTCACTGCACATTGGGCATACCCATGCGTGCTCAGTCCTCTGAAGCAGCAGCCACTCCAAAGTACTTCTACTAATTGTCCCCATGAGAAACTGGTTATATTGTCTCCTTTCTCAGCCTCGAAGACGGCAAAGACGTGCTTCACCATGCTTAACTCCCATGTCACTCAATCGTGTTAGTGTAAGAGATTCCTCGTTATCTACTAGCCCAGTCTGTAAAGTGCTTATAAAGGGGAAGAATTTGAAGCTCTCATGCCTATGTTAGTTTATCTGGCGTTATTTATAATTAATTAAACAGGTAACCTAGTTTCGTAATGACTGACAATGTGTGTACCTATCCATAACTTTGAGTAAAGTACGCTATAAAATGAGATGTGTGATTCAACAATAAATTAACGTTTATATTTAATAATGTCATTAGTACTATTCAGCGGTTCAAAAATAAATGCCCAAGATAAAAATAGGAGATGTTTTAGCCTCCCGAAACTTCGATGAGGTACAAGATGAAAGAGAAGAAGAAGAACAGGTAGTACCATTCTTATCACACCAAATTATATAAAATGATGATCTTGATCTTATGTGTGTGAAGATTAACACTCTGCCTAGTTCTGTTGTCGTCGGCTCTGTGGCTAAGTCGATGCGAACGTTTCGCTTCGAAATGCCGGGATGCCGGGTTCGATCCCAGTTGCGGGCAATGCGCCTTGCGTTGGTTTCGACAGTGGTATCAAGAAAGCCGACCATCCAGAAGCAATGGCAAACTACTGGACGTACATTTGCCAAGAGAAACCACACAACAGCCAGGGGCTGTTAGGGTTGGTTCTGCAACGTCCTGTAAACGATACGCAACTAAAAAAAAAAAAAAAATAGTTCTGTTGTCTTTGATCAAAGCATTGAAAGAGGAAGATAAGAAGAAGGAGAAGGTAATTCTGTTAAATAAGATAAGGTTTTAACTACTAGTTTATGTGGTGTTCTAAGGATTTCACACTTCATTTTATGACCTCTCGTATGTGCTACTGGTCATGATGTCTATTTCCTTCTAGATCATAGACTGTCAGTCATATCGTATAGGGATGTTTCGTCATGCCATTTTGATTAAATGTTTAAGAACGCCATCAGTGCTGTTCCACTATCTTTCTTTCTTATCATCTTTCCTGTTTATACTGCGTATTCCTGTTTTCCACTTGCCAAGACCTGTCCAATTAAATGGATTTAATACTATTGTAATAGGCGTAATCGGTTCTTTATGTGAGTTTATTTATTTTAAGACATCAATCTTTGAAATAAAGTAATAAATTCTGCACAGGTTGCTCTCAGCATTATTCTCTAAACCCCATTCCTAAAGCTTTCTCATATTGTTGCCTTTGATATGCCTACTGTCCCTAATTCACGTTTACACATTAGGAGTAGAGCCATCCATACAACTACAGTAAAGTCAGACAAAAGCATTGTACAGAAGGATAAGGAAGAAAAACACAGACAGTTATTGTCACACACGGCAGACTGTCCAACATCGACCATCATGATATTCCCAATATCAGCTATTTAATCGATGGGCCATATAAGCTTTTGACTTCAGTTGAAATAATTTATTTGTTATATTTCCATTGTTGTGTTATAATTTATATAGTATACCTGTATACTTGAAAGAATATAGCGAAATATATATCATACAATAAATTGTGCAGCATATTGAATGTATTCTCATTTCTTAAATTTGCACCACGAAAATAATAAGTTTCATTTTACATTATGATCTTGGCTTCCCCCATCTCCCAACCCCCAAACATCACCACCGTCACATCTTTTTATGTTTGTTTAATTTTGCTGGCAAAGTTAAAGACCCATCTCACACCTTTAGCTCAGTAGGCTGTACTATATCACGTAGACGTGGCAGCATTTGATAGACAATGCAGTCAACATCACACTGCCCCATTTACTTCATAAAACAAAACAAAAAATCCACCACGTTTAACCTACTGCGAACAGTATCGATTTTAATTGTGGTCTGCTCTTTTTGTGCCAATTATGATGGCAAGAAATGTTAATTGAATCAAAACGT